AAATTTTTATTTTATTTCTTTTAGTCTTTCTAAATGAAAGTATTTACTTGTAGGAAACAATTATTAACAGCTTGAGAGCCAAGTCTCATACATTATAATGTGAAAACTATATACATAATGCGTAAGATACACTCATTTTCTTTTTTTTTTTTTTTAAGATTTTATTTATTTGTAAGAGAGAGAATGAGAAACAGAGAGCATGAGAGGGAGGAGGGTCAGAGGGAGAAGCAGATTCCCTGCTGAGCAGGGAGCCCGATGCGGGACTCGATCCCGGAACTCCAGGATCATGACCTGAGCCAAAGGCAGTCGCTTAACCAACTGAGCCACCCAGGCGCCCCGATACACTCATTTTCTATAGCACCATTAGGCAACTCTCTTTAAACACATGGAAGAGAAAATTAAGGTATGTGATGAGAAAATCACAAGTAGGTGACAGCAAATAATTTACAGAACAACAAAAATACCATTAAAATGTGTTCTAACATAATATTTTCATATCTTTTTGTTTTCTCACCTGAAAAAATACATATAGTCACACCACAGGTTATATGGAATGTTCTGCTTTTATCCAACAATCTTCTGGTTCTCCTGCTTGGAACCTAAATAAAATTCAGTATGGTGAAAATGAAGCAGGAAATAAGATATGTGTACAAAGTTTTTCACTATAGCATTGTTCATAATATCAAAGATTTAGAAATATGGCAGAGGCCTAGGAATTAAAAGTTGGTGAGATGAATTATGATATATCTAGTCAGTAGAACACCCAAACCATTACAGAGAATGTGAGAAGACTTATTGATATGGAAAGATGTGTCAGATATATGGCTAGGTAAAAGTGATAACACATAAACTATAGTCCTATAGTGTTTAAAATTAATGGCATTCTATGCAAATCTGAAGGCATTTACCCCAAACTAATCTGTGGTTGTTCCAGCACAGTAATATTAGGAGAAACTTTCACTGATTACTTTACATATTTCTGGAATGTTTGAGTTGTACAATATATATGATTTCCTTTTGTAGTCAAAAAATAAGATGATTTTTAAATGAAGCAATTCCATCTACGGTTCTAAATGCCTTCTTGATCTTATAAAAAAATAAAATGTCAAGCATCTTTGAATACTTATATTTCACATCAGGGGACCATTCTTTAAGACTTATTTAAATACTGAGAGACTTAGGTGGGCACTTTTCATTTCCTGCCGTTTATCTTCTCTTTCTTCACACCAAGCCAATAGCCAGCCATAGGCATCAAAACCTAGCATTTTACAATAGTAGGCAACCTAGAGAAAGAGTTATTTCCACAAATTACTGCATTAAAAGCAAAGAGTTTCTAAATATAATTACATGAAAAGGTTGAGAAGTTTTACTGCAGTAAATCTGCTCATATGAACCACACAGAACATCAAAGTGACTCATATTAACAACTTCTTTTAAAGTATCAATATTGATCCAGGAATGCCTTATTATTTCAACAAAGAAAAGAAACACAAACACACCAGGATAACTGAAGACAAAAAATAATTTGTTGAGTTTTAATTTCCAAAGTGCTTTACTGTTTCCGTACAACCTTCATTTTACAACATCACACATGACATCACATCCTAATCAAGACATCTCCAAGACTATTACATAGCTTAAACCATGCATGTATTTGAAAAGGAGATAAATCGCCACCAACACCAGTAGACACTGTATATTTTGATGAAAGTCCACAGGGCTCTAGTTTCTAGTTTGCTCACCTGGACTTAACTAAATGAAAACACAGGCTCTAAATGAGGCATAGTAGTATAGTGGAAAAATCTCAGAACTGGGACTGATCTTAGCTCTGCCATTTTGTTAGTCTCATGATGTTGGTCAAGTTACTTAACCTTTCTGTGCCTCAGTTCTTCATCTACAAGACCTGTAGAATCATTGTGAGGATTCACACTTACATCCATGGAGTGCTTAGCCCAACACCTGAAATCACTATTAATAGCCATTTCTATTATGCACTGCCTCTATCTAGCATTGCAGAAGAGCTCACTGATCATCTTGACAGGTGACATGGTCTTTACTATCATCTGGTAGCTGACAGCAGATGATAGAAATCAGTCTATTAGGTCAGACCATGAAAACTCAGTAGTACTAACATGCCACTGTTCCACTTGGTTTTTTATTCTGGAATCTGTGACTAGGATTTTTTGTTCTTACCTTCTGGGATCCTCGTAGGTAAGCCAGGAGCATCCGGCACATGGGTAAAAGGATAAGGCTGCAGTTGAGGTTAAGAACAGATGCGGAGGCTCTGCTTAGACACAATCCTAGCTGAACAAATAAGGCAAGAGTCAAAACACAGTCAAGACAAAAACAGACTACAAACTTGCTGCAGATCTCACCCTGCTTCTCCTTGAAGGATCATGGCAAAATGCCAACTTCTTCGAGAATCTTGAACAACTGCCTACTTTCCTCTCACCAAAAACCCCTAAAAGAAACTGGTGTCTGTCTGCTCTGCACTGCCATATAACTTAGTCTCCCCTCATTTCCACTAGTGTTATAAACACTTGAGTACATTTTTCTGGCGTGAAGTCAATTTCTTGTTGTGCCCCCACTATACTGTTATGGGTATGAAGGGGCCCTCCAGAGCCTTGGTGTATTATCAGGTACCTCCACACTGGTGCAGTTGAATCCTCTTTTCACCGATAAGGTGCCAAAAATTTCAAATAAAGCTTTTTCATTTGTGTTCTCTCTAGAACCTTCTGACCACACAACCCCCTTCCAAACCATTGCCTGCCTGCCTTTCAGCTCTTTACCTTACTGACTCTACCCATCTTTCAGGTTTTACCTTAAGCACTGTGCCTCTAGAGTTCTTCTGTGACCCAAAACTAGGAGGGGTCCAGATTAGCCCCGTACAAAGATAATCATAACCACATTGTGCATTGCTTTTTTCAAAGAATCAGAACCCTCGGTGTTGAGGCCATACTTTCTGGCAACTAATTTTAAATCAAACTCCTGCTAGATTGTCATCTGCTATTGTCTGGTACTACCTACATTCTTCATATAAATAGTGTATCACATGAAAACAAGAGAAGGGGTATCTGCACTCTTGTCCTAAAATAAACATAAAAGGACTTTATTTGAAGGATGTTGACTAAGAAATATGTATAAGTCAGATGCTTTTCTTATCTTAAAATTATTTATGCTCCTGAGATTTCCAACTTAACTCTTGGCAAAATAGCAACTCTGTTACAAAATGTTTGTTGTCAGCGCATGAAGTATTGTTCCTGAAGGGGAGACAGGGTAATAAGTCATGTCAGGAAAGCAATAATTTTCATTGACTTATATAAAAAGTAATTAATATTTCCAGTTAGGCTATTTCTACACCATGAGTTAGAAAACCTTAGGGATATATTAAATGAATATACTAGTAATTAGACAAATAGAAATAAGCCCCTCTAGACTATCTAAAAAAATGTTAAATATTCTCACCTCACTCAGCAAAGTTATTATCATTTCAGAGTGATGGGTTTTTGTTATTTAGGCCTCCAGAGAAATAGAGTAATTGTTATCTCTTTGATCTGGCATGTGCACATGATAAGAAAATTTTAGCTCAAGGGATTTTAGATGATAATTTTATCTGCAATTTTAATGTACCAGGACAATAATTCACTTAAAATTTATCAGCTAAAATCTATCATATAAGTGTAGGACTTAAGAGATACAAATAAATTATCCAATTTTATTTTGTAGTTCAACAATTTAAAGAAAATTCTTATAGTCTTCATTTTCTAACCATATATCGTGTCTGGAAGTGTTTTATTGTTGTGCTTATATTAAATCACATAGTAATTTAACTCAAAGTGGCTTTAAGTGTCCCCTTAGGATAGATGGAGTTTATCTTGGCATACCACTTCTTCCTTAACAATGCTATAAAATCTACCCGGAAATTTTACCAAGGACTCATTTCCTCTGTATGTTTGTTCCTGAATTTTTTAGTTTTAAATTTTTCAACAAGATGAAACTTCTCTTTACTAGGTTATCAGAGTACAAAACTCCCTCATTCTGAAGCAATGGAGAGAGTGAGGAACATGGAGACAGATCGCAGTCAAGTGGCGCAAGCATAGGAAACCACGTGATCTACTTACTACATGGGTAACATCCTACGGCGAAGAGCATTTGTTTTATTTAGTCCCTCTTAATGCATGACCATTGTAAGAATCTGCTCCCTCAAATGTTTACTGAACACAAAGGACCGCCCCAAGTTATGTGGCCAGGTCCACTCTGTGACTCTGACTCGTGTTACCATTCCTAGAGCACTTAACCGCTGCTCTACTTTTCCAACTTCATTCGAGTTTGTTGTCACCAGATGGCAGTGTTACTTTCACGTTTAGAATCCTACCTGTCAAGGTCTCTAAAACATAATTGAGAATTCCATATGTAATTTTAAAACTATAAATATATTTTAGATGAGTATATACAAATAAAACACAGCTTACTCCTTTTTATGGACTGAATGTCTGTTCCCCCCGAAATTCATATGATGAAATCTAATGTCAAGAAAGAAAAGGAAAGAAAGAAAGAAAGAAAGAAAGAAAGAAAGAAAGAAAAGAAAGGGAAGAAAAAGGAAGGAAGGAAGGAAGGAAGGAAGGAAGAAGAAAGGGATGCCTGGGTGGCTCAGTCGGAAGCATCTGCCTTTGGCTCAGGTCATGATCCCAGAGTCCTGGGATAGAGCCCCGCATCGCGCTCCTTGTTCCGCGGGGAGCCTGCTTCTTCCTCTGCCTGCCACTCCCCCTGCTTGTTCTCTCTCTCTCCCTCTCTCTCTCTGACAAATAAATAAATCAAATCTTAAAAAGAAAACAAGAAGAAGGAAGGAAGGGAGAAATCTAATGTCATAGTATTTGAGAGCTTTGGGGAGGTAATTGTGTTTAGATAAGATTATGAGAGTAGGGCCCCCATTGTGGGATTAGTGCTCTTGTAAGAAGAGGAAGAGACCACAGCTCTCCAAAGACTCCATGTCAGGATACAGCAAGAAAATGGCCCTGCAAACCAGGAAAAGGGCTCTCATCAGACATCAAATCTGCTGGCACTTTGATCTGAGACTTCCCAGCCTCCAAAACTGAAATAAATGTTCTCTTAGCCACCTGGTCTACAGTATTTTGTTAGAGCAAACTGAACTAATGCAATCCTAAAGAACATCATAAGAGCATATGCCATTTGAAGCAAGTTATAAAAGAATATAACATCTGCGTATAACAAGTGTGTGGTAATTTTCCTAAAATCTCAAACACATGGTTTCTTATCTTAAATCTGCTACTTAATAACTATTCATCTTGAGCTAGTTAACTGTCCTTTTCTGTAAAATTAAGAGGGATAAATGTTCTTATCTGTAAAATTAATATAATATGCTATGATACAATAATCCTAGTTCTTAGAACTTTTGTGAAAAGTAAAACCAGTCTAATATATGCAAGCACTATATAAAATTAATTTATTGCCTTGAGGTCACTGTATCACATCCTTTCTCTGAATGTTCTCCTCTGTACTTCTGCAGTAAGTCCCACTTACATTATTCATTCAATATATATTTATTGTGATATGCACATATCCCAAGGCACTGGGAGTTCAATGGTGAATGAAAAACAGAGAACGTCTATTCCTTAGTATCTTTATATTCCAGTAGGGGAAACAGATACTAATCAAATAGCTACATAATCAAATGTAAATTCTAACAATGATCAATGCTGTGAATGAGAAATACAGAGCACAAGCATGTGTAACAGGAAATGAAAGCTAAATAAGAAGGTCAGGAAGGCTTCCCTGATTAAGTGAAAAGTGAACTGAGATTTTGAGGGTGAGAGTACAAGTCATCCAAAAATGAGAAAGATATCCATACAGAAAAAAAAAAAAAAAGCATGAGAACTGATGCGACAAATGGGAGCATGGTGTATATATGAGAATTTAATAGTAGGTCAGTGTGGTTGGATTGGAAATGGAGGGTGATTACAACAGAAGACTGGAGAAGGGGTAGACCTGCTGGATTGTGTAGGTCACATTAAGAATGCAGGTCTTTATTCTAAAATCAGGGCAGAATGAATGTGTTTTAAGCAGAGAAGTGATATAAAGAGATTAGTATTTGCTAATGATTACTCTGAATCAAGTATGGAGAACAAATTGGAAGAGAGTAATTTGGGCAATTACATTACTTTGTGTAATCATCACAAAAATGTCATTTGAGACAAGGATTGCATTTTATGGTAATTATGACTGAATCTTACGTACAGAAAGGATCCAGTGTTGACTAAATATTGTACTTACGAGTAAGTTTATTTTGCCAAGTAATTTACCAATACATATACCTCTGAACTTGGAGAACTAAAAGGGCCTCTCCACATCCCACCATCCACCCAGAGTCTAACCCCTTCTATGACTGCCCTAACCAAAGGTAATCCACCCTCTGTTGATTTTTTCCTGAGATAGCAGCCTCTTCCACCATCAAAAACTTGTTCTGCTTTCTTACAGTAGCATGAAGTCTGCATCTCTGTAACTTCCACCCACCAGGCAGCTCTAGATAATAGTATTCCTAAACTGAAAATAAAAGAACAATGATTTGCTAATCCAATCTTGTTTTCTTCTTGCAAAACACAATCAGTTGCTTCTGAAATTCTTGAAATAATCGTTAGACTCCCTCTCATCTCTATGACCTTTCCCAATTCTGCCAGAATTCAGCACATCCTCAAGATATTAGTAAACATAGACTAATAGTAGTAGGCAGTACTGAAGAGCATCATCTCCCTCACAAAGCCCATGATCTCCGCTAATTCTAAGACTGTGCTAATTTATAGGGCAACTCTGTTACATAATGGCTCATCTTAAGTTTGCAACATAGAGATTTTCTCACATGAGTTGCTACCGAGCAATGATCCCTATCCTACAGTGGAAAAAAACAATGAAGGTGAGAGATAGCAGGTGCAATGCAAGAATGGATTGGCTTTAGCCTATTCGATCATATTGGGTATAAACCCTAGATTCTGACATTTTTCCTTCTTAATTTTGCTTTAGCTAAAAATTTTACATTCACATTTTCCACATCTTCATCTAAGTTTTTGACAATGCTATTAAAGTGTAACAAAATCCTATTGAAATTGTTGACCTGCAAACTACCTTTTTCAGTAAATAAACTTTCAAATGAACATTTTGCTCTCAAATGGGAATTTTCTCAAAAATTTTGAGGAAATATGACATTCTACATGTAAATATCTATGCAACACTATTGCTCAAAGGGATTTGTAAAGCCAGCGAAGTATTAAAAGTAAGTTTCAATAACTGGT